AAATATGTAGAGAGAATGTGATAGTACGGGAAGTATGAGAGGGGCATGCGAGTGAGCAGCAATACTTTGAATTCTGGGTGTGTAATTCTGGAAAATCTACGGAACTGTGAACTTGACACCACTCTTAGCCATGCACGCGTCAAAAACCGGTTTTTGTTTTCTCAAAAACTAAATTGTACGAAGACTAGGTGATATTAAATTTTTCTCACAACCGAATTTTGTAGAGTAAACATTCCTCTATAAAATAAGCTAGCTATAGCTGCAATCTTCACCTGGATCCAGCACTTATAAAAAAAGTATTTAATAAGAGTCTCATTTATCGGTTTCGGGTACATAACACGGAAAAGAGAGAAGATCCGCCGTAGCTCATTTTATAAAGAAATGTTTGCTCGACAAGACTCAGTTGTGAGAAAAGTTTAACATGCCAAATCGTCATACAATCTGTGTCTGAAGTGGTGGATTAGGTACTGGAGGAAATACACAAACGTCTTATTCTTCAACATGGTCGTCATCATACAGACAAGAAGGTGGAACAGGACTAGGAAATAGTAGTTTTCATCGTAGCAGTCCGTTAAGAGATCATATAACATCCACAACATCTTCAATTTCATCAACGTTGGACGGTGGACGTAATTTATTAAATAATCAAGCCCCAATCACATATTCAACAATAACATCTCGTCCCGATTATACAATATCCGATGGAGGAGATGGAACAAAAACCGTTAGTTATAAATTTAGTCTAGATGGATTTACCCCCAAAGATATTCGCATTGAGATCAATGGTACCATGCTGAAAATAACAGCCATTCGAGAAGAACGAGATAATTCAAGAAAATTCGAACAAGAAATTAGTTCGTATATAACGTTTTTTTTTTCATATAAACAGACTAGTTCTCAGAAACTTAGACTTTTCCCGTTTTAAGGCCCATTTTTTTTCCCCAGAACACTCAATCTTACTGAAATTTTTATTGAATATGTATCTGACCATTGATAGTTCTCAGTATAAATTTGAGCTCATAATATTG